TCTTTTTTTGTATATAGAATGAAGAGAACGAGAAAGAGAATATCAATGTATAGCTTATACTATATAATCAAGTTGTTGTACAGCTAATTATTCTTGATAAATATCGAGTACATATAAAAATCAACTTAGAAAATGGCACAACTGAAAACATGAAAAACAAAACACTAAAAAAAAGTCTAGTATATAATTTAACCTACACAACGATCCCTTTCCCCACGAAGTATTTTCATGTACAAAAAATAGTCTCCATTAATCTTCGATTTATTACCGTTTTCAGTTTCTATTGTAACAGAATTACTTTTGCGAACTTTACAATGAAAATCTGAAACATAGCATACTTTGTCTTTATATTCGCCATAAACTAAATTGACAATACAATTTAAACTGGCAAAAAATGATATTTGTGGTGTAAATTGAGATTTAATACCAATACTTTGTAAATAATTATACTCATTTACTGTTAGACGAATGCGATGAGTATGTTCTTTAGCTCTTCGACGACCTGGTTTTAAACGTGCTGCTAGAAAGTGTTGTAATGAACGACAGAGACGTATTCGTAGACGATCTTGCAATCGTGTACTTGGTGTTGTCGTACAAGGATATGATTCATTATTATTATTCTGGTTCGATACTAGTTGACCATGATGAAGTTTCAAGAAATAACCGGGCTCCAATTTTCTTTCACGCAGACATGGAAAACCCTATAACAAATTTGTAACAAAACACTATAACAAATATTATCCTTAAGTATACACAAAATGAGTTCTTTAGGGCGCTTCAAGTTTCTTCAACTGTCGAACTCTGCATCTGTGACCTGATGTTCTTTTCTTGGAACAACAGCACAAGATACTTTTCAATTTATGCATTCGTTACTTTAGTTAGGGGCGTTTAAAAAGATATTCCGGTCGGTCGGTCGTTATTCCACGACTATTTCGATACAATATTTCATTTTATAATAATTTTTATATAGATGTATACAAGTAAATAATTACATTTACAGTAAATGAACAAATTTTAAATTTTGATCGAATGTTAACCTTTTATGTACCCAAGAAAGAGAGTGCTCACTGTAAACTTATTTCGTATTCTGCCAACCGGGAAAGTTAGAGGCAATTAGAAAAGAAAACGAAGTTCTTGTATACATCTATATAAAAATTTTATAAAGTGGAATGTATATTTTGAAACGCTCTCTTAGTGGAGCAAAATTATGCATCAAATTCATAGCGATACATATTTTTATCGAGTAGAAGAGTTAGGCAACATTTTCACTACAAAGTAAAACTCTTTTCGTTTTTTCCGGAGAGCAGAAATCGGTGACAAAACAAAATCGCAACAGGTCATATTTTTATGTATGAATCCTATGTGGTAACTTACCATAGGAAATAAAGATATCAAATATCAATAAGAGGAGAATTTTTGAAATGACGATGTCAGGAAGAAAATTTTTGTGCAATGTACTATTTTAATAAAGTAATTGAATGATTTTTTTGAAGAATTTGTCGTCCTTATATAAGAATTTAAATCAGTAATGTTCTCTCAATTGATAAACAGCTATGTACATTCAATTAGACACTAAAAATATACAATTTGTGCCTGAAACAATACTACTATCATACACGCAGTCTTATCTATACAAACTAGCATAGTCATATATATGGGAAAACGCAATTATGCATTGTATCATACAACTTGTTCTATTGTCATGTATTCACATAATGAGCAGAAAAAATTTCAGCTAGGTCTATATAAACTCTCAGTTCAAAATTAAGCTTTACCATAAAATAAAATACTTTTTGCTACATAAAATGTCGCAGACTCAAAATCAATCTATAAGCAAATTTGTGATTGATATCAACGACATAATCGAAAATAATTCATTGTTGCCCGATGAAGTATTGCCTGACATTATTAGAAAATTTTTGTTGACGGCGTCCGATGTTAACGAGTTTGATGCAGCCGGTTTACTGAAGGTTGTTCGAAAACAGGTTTGTACAAATAAATTAGTGTCTCATATGATATTACGTTATCTACTTAAGATCATTCATTTGTGTATAGGTCGGTTTTCTAAAGAGCAAAGCGAGAAAGATTGCAAAGCAACATAAAATACGTCCATGCCATTATGTGGAGAAAACGATTACTATCGCTATCCAAAAGCGAATGGTAATAAACGAACGAGGAAGTACTCTTTCATGACATTATTATATTTTGTTCTTATAGAACGACAGGGATTCGTCATCAAGTATGATTCTATGTTCAAACACTTCGGATACGTCAATGACTACTACATCCCCTAGTACATTTACTAATCAATCACCACATAATACTGTTTTGTTAGCAACTGATTTATTTCCTAACAAATCAGTAAGTACATATTTGTACATGAAATAAGTTACGTTTTAAGTGTATAAGGATGATTTAATTTTTTACGTACTAATAAACGTAGCCATACATCAGCTATAATTCGGTGACATGAAAACGTCAAAACTGATTACATAGTTGATATGTGCGTATGTACACACATTCGTAGACTTGCAATTCGAGGAGAACATAAAAGTAGCACCTCATTCTACGAAATGACTCAATCTAACCTGTAGCATGGCCAACTCTACGGTTGGATACAATTTTGCCAGACTATATTACAGCAGAAGGTGTGTTCTGTACGAAACTATTATATAGAGAAAATGTACCTTGGTTGCATGACTACTAAGGGAACGTTTCAAAATGTATTCCGGTCTGTCGGTCGCTATTCCTCAATTCCGCTATTCCCCAATTATTCCTCTATTATAGAATTTAAATTCTAATTTATTTTATTTTATTTTGTATAGTTCGGTTTCTTTGATTGTATTGTTGATACATACATCGGCATATATATACTTCCAACGTGTTCGTTTTTTTTAACAGACATCTTTATAAGAGCAGACATTTTTCTGTTTAAAGAATAAAATCAGAAAGTAACAAATTTTATATTTTCATCAAATGTTCATCTTTTTTATATTCAAGGAGGCGAG